TGTGCTTTTCCATGTAACAAAAAACATTAAACCTCAAACAAAATTCCCAATATTTCTAAAAAAAAAGTGTAACAGTCTAAGTATTACATTTTCAAGGATTTATGAGAGTATAAATGATCATGTTGCCGAATTTAAATGATTTTATTTTTAGATAGGACAGTGTTTTGTGTGTACTACTGACAGTAAACCTGAAACCAATAAACTGCTCAAACAGCTCTCTCCTCCTCTGTGGAGTCAACTGGATTCTGTCATGACCACGTCTAAAATGGAATTTGTCAGGGAAATCGTGTCATAATTAAGCTGTGGGAAATGAGGTTGTGCTGTTTTAGGTGTGAAATGTGTTTCCTGGAACTGGTTTAAACTGTTTAAGACAATAAACTTCAGATGAGTTCTGAACATCACCAGGTTCATGGACGTAATTTTTGGGGGGGGGACAGGGGGGACATGTCCCCCCCACTTTTTCCAAAGTCAAGTTTTGACCCCTGCACTTTTTACCATCCAAAAACAATATTACGCTATATTAAATTGACACTGGTTGAGCTCTAGGACCAAGCGGAAAGCAACCGTTTGTGTTGAAGCCTGTTTCCCCTTAGAACATATTGTAAAGATACCCCCCCCCCCCCCCCCCCCCGTGTCCCCCCCCCCCCACTTCTAAAGTGAAAATTACGTCCTTGCAGGAATGTGAAGCTGCCACTGTTTTTCGTATAGCATGATGACACTGGTGTTAGAGGATTGTTATTGACTTGGTTAGATATTTTAAGCCTATTTTAAATTTCTTTATATTTGATCTTGAAAACGGACAATCTTATAATTTGGCTGATAATGCAGGGATTATAAAATTTAGAGTACATTACATTCACAGAGAGAACCTGGTTTATTTCATGTCATATGTATTTAATATATCAATATATATCAGTATTAGCAAAGCTTAACATCATGAACCATGACAGACATGACTGAAGAGCACATGAAGATATCATGCCAGGCACTGATGAGAAAATATTACAAGGATCTCACAGCTGAACTTGAGAATGAGATGCTACACCTGAGAACAATATATGGTGCCACATTTCCACACATTCAGTCTCCTCTTGAGCTGCTTAATGCCATCTACAGGATGCAATTACAGAGCATTTTTGGAGAAGTTTGTATTGGACTGAGGATTTTTTGCACACTACCTGTGACTGTTGCTGGGGTGAACGGGCTTTTAGCAAACTGAAACTGGTGAAAAATTATTTGAGATCAACAATGTCCCAGGATAGACTGAACAGCCTAGCTCTTCTTTCTATTGAATGCCAATTAGCCAAAGGATTGGACTTTAAAGATCTCATAAGTGATTTTGCTAACATGAAGACCCGTCAGTGGGCATTTACTGGAAAATAAATTCCAGGATTTTTGTTTGAACACATTGTTGGCAAATAAAAATAATTGTATGTGAAGTATGGGCATTTCACTTTTATTATGCTGGCATTTGTATTTGCTCAATATAGAGGTTAAACTAAGATCATATTTATTATCTTGTCTTATAGCATGACAAAAAATGTGTAAGAGAGATATTAAGTAATTGAGCATGGGGGCCCACCTAGAAGACTTGTACCTAGGAGCCAGAATTTGGTGCTACGCCCCTGGCTTCAGCTACCAGACCCAGGTTCTGCTCCAGCTACCAGGCCCAGGTTCTTCTCCAGCTACCAGGCCCAGGTTCTGCTTCAGCTACCAGGCCCAGGTTCTTCTCCAGCTACCAGACCCAGGTTCTTCTCCAGCTACCAGGCCCAGGTTCTGCTCCAGCTACCAGGCCCAGGTTCTTCTCCAGCTACAAGGCCCAGGTTCTTCTCCAGCTACCAGGCCCAGGTTCTTCTCCAGCTACAAGGCCCAGGTTCTGCTCCAGCTACCAGACCCAGGTTCTGCTCCAGCTACCAGACCCAGGTTCTGCTTCAGCTACCAGGCCCAGGTTCTGCTTCAGCTACCAGGCCCAGGTTCTGCTCCAGCTACCAGACCCAGGTTCTGCTCCAGCTACCAGGCCCAGGTTCTGCTCCAGCTACCAGGCCCAGGTTCTGCTCCAGCTACCAGGCCCAGGTTCTGCTCCAGCTACCAGGCCCAGGTTCTGCTTCAGCTACCAGACCCAGGTTCTGCTCCAGCTACCAGACCCAGGTTCTGCTTCAGCTACCAGACCCAGCTTCTGCTTCGGCTACCAGGCCCAGGTTCTTCTCCAGCTACCAGACCCTGGTTCTGCTTCAGCTACCAGAATCAGGTTCTTCTCCAGCTACCAGACCCAGGTTCTTCACCAGCTACCAGGCCCAGGCTCTGCTCCAGCTACCAGACCCAGGTTCTGCTCCAGCTACCAGACCCAGGTTCTTCTCCAGCTACCAGACCCAGGTTCTTCTCCAGCTACCAGGCCCAGGTTCTGCTCCAGCTACCAGACCCAGGTTCTTCTCCAGCTACCAGACGTAGGTTCTTCTCCAGCTACCAGACCCAGGTTCTGCTCCAGCTACCAGACCCAGGTTCTTCTCCAGCTACCAGACCCAGGCTCTGCTCCAGCTACCAGACCCAGGTTCTGCTTCAGCTACCAGGCCCAGGCTCTGCTCCAGCTACCAGACCCAGGTTCTTCTCCAGCTACCAGGCCCAGGTTCTGCTTCACCAGACCCAGGTTCTGCTTCAGCTACCAGACCCAGGTTCTGCTCCAGCTACCAGACCCAGGTTCTTCTCCAGCTACCAGACCCAGGTTCTTCTCCAGCTACCAGACCCAGGTTCTGCTCCAGCTACCAGACCCAGGTTCTGCTCCAGCTACCAGACCCAGGTTATTCTCCAGCTACCAGGCCCAGGTTCTGCTTCACCAGACCCAGGTTCTGCTTCAGCTACCAGACCCAGGTTCTGCTCCAGCTACCAGGCCCAGGTTCTGCTCCAGCTACCAGACCCTGGTTCTGCTCCAGCTACCAGGCCCAGGTTCTGCTCCAGCTACCAGGCCCAGGTTCTGCTCCAGCTACCAGGCCCTGGTTCTGCTCCAGCTACCAGACCCAGGTTCTGCTCCAGCTACCAGGCCCAGGTTCTGCTCCAGCTACCAGACCCAGGTTCTGCTTCAGCTACCAGGCCCAGGTTCTTCTCCATCTACCAGACCCAGGTTCTGCTCCAGCTACCAGGCCCAGGTTCTGCTCCAGCTACCAGACCCAGGTTCTGCTTCAGCTACCAGGCCCAGGTTCTTCTCCATCTACCAGGCCCAGGTTCTGCTCCAGCTACCAGACCCAGGTTCTTCTCCAGCTACCAGGCCCAGGTTCTGCTCCAGCTACCAGACCCAGGTTCTGCTCCAGCTACCAGACCCTGGTTCTGCTCCAGCTACCAGACCCAGGTTCTGCTACAGCTACCACACCCAGGTTCTTCTCCAGCTACCAGGCCCAGGTTCTGCTCCAGCTACCACGCCCAGGTGCTGCTTCAGCTACCAGACCCAGGTTCTGCTCCAGCTACCAGACCCAGGTTCTGCTTCAGCTACCAGGCCCAGGTTCTGCTCCAGCTACCACGCCCAGGTTCTGCTCCAGCTACCACGCCCAGGTGCTGCTTCAGCTACCAGACCCAGGTTCTGCTCCAGCTACCAGACCCAGGTTCTGCTTCAGCTACCAGACCCAGGTTCTGCTCCAGCTACCAGACCCAGGTTCTTTTCCAGCTACCAGGCCCAGGTTCTGCTCCAGCTACCAGACCCAGGTTCTGCTCCAGCTACCAGACCCTGGTTCTGCTTCAGCTACCAGACCCAGGTTCTGCTCCAGCTACCAGACCCAGGATCTTCTCCAGCTACCAGGCCCAGGTTCTGCTCCAGCTACCAGGCCCTGGTTCTGCTCCAGCTACCAGACCCCGGTTCTGCTCCAGCTACCAGACCCAGGTTCTGCTCCAGCTACCAGGCCCAGGTTCTTCTCCAGCTACCAGACCCAGGTTCTGCTTCAGCCTGGGGCGTCGGACTGGGAGGAGGAAGGGTACCGTTTACCTAGGGCCCACTGCAGGGAGGGGCCCTGAGACAGCTTTGAATAAAAATGTTTTATTGTTGTTGTTTTTTTCCCCCCAACTTACTTAATGTCTTAATAAACTTCCCTTTACCTGGATAAAGAGGATAAGAAACAGAATTCCGCCTTAAAAATAATAACTGTATAATCTCTGAGGCATCTATCACCCCTTAAAAATGTGCAAAGTGGTTTAGTCCACACCAGCGGCCAGGGGCTGCACTGCCGCATGTACAGCTATGAGACATCGCAGATGCCGACAGCCAGAGCTGGAGGCAGGAGAGTCAGTCATGTCTTTTCCCAAGTAAGGGAAATCTGGCTTCCAGGAAAGAAAAGAAAAGAAGGAGAAAAAGTTAATTGAACAGAAGCAAGTATTGACTAGGTTTTTCAAGAAGGCAGGTGAGCAGCAGCAGCAGAACACAGTTTTAGCTGATATTAGCTAGCTCTCAGAAGCTGCATTCATGTTAGGTGTTCAGTGTTAAACGCCTTTAGTTTCACCATCAAGATCAAATATAAATTAATTATTGTTATCAGTGAAAACACTAATATATATATGCATATATATATATATATCAGAATTATTATCGCGGGCGGCCGCCGCCAATTAATTCGCGGACCTCGCAGTAAAAACAGGTTCACTCTGTGTGGATATTTCAGCTCCTTCCCAGTCATGGACCAGGACAAACTTGGTATCGATGGATTCGTGGTAATCTCAGGAATGCATGGACGTAATTTGGGGGGGGGGGGGGGGGGGGGGGGGGGGGGACAGGGGGGACATGTCCCCCCCACTTTTTCCAAAGTCAAGTTTTGACCCCTGCACTTTTTACCATCCAAAAACAATATTACGATATATTAAATTGACACTGGTTGAGCTCTAGGACCAAGCGGAAAGCAACCGTTTGTGTTGAAGCCTGTTTCCCCTTAGAACATATTGTAAAGATACCCCCCCCCCCCCCCCCGTCCCCCCCACTTCTAAAGTGAAAATTACGTCCTTGACCAGGTTGAGCTTACAACAGTCTGATCCTGGTCTTCAGGGGCCACCATCCTATATATTTTATAGGTTTTTCTGCTCCAGCACACCTGATTTTAATCAGCAGGTGATTAATGGGCTTCTACGCAGCTTCACAAACAGGCAAACCATTGAGTCAGGTGTACTGAAGGGCACGGCTACAACTGGATGGATGGATAGACAGATGTACTAAACATGTTGGCTGTTGACGGTTGGAGGCCACTATGGATCGGCAGTGAAACTCAATTCTTGAAAAGTGTGAATTTCATGTGTACAAGCTCTGTTTAGACTCCCAACTCCTAAACCAAGTCCCGAACAAAGTTTTTAAAACACAATTTTGCAGTTAGCTATTGTTCTGAACTTTAGGAAACTCCTTTGAATTCAAAACGTGAAAAAGTTTAAAGACT